AAGTGAAATGTGGTCCATTTTGTGGTACAGTAAAATAGTCTTTTTAATTTAATAGGTTATTAAAGCAAATTCGCAAAAGTAACGAGCATCTGACTTAAACGATGTCACACAACGAAAATCCGATTTTCGTCACACGAAAATCGGATTTTCGTTGTGTGACATCGTTTAAGTCAGATGCTCGTTACTTTTGCGAATTTGCTTTAATAACCTATTAAATTAAAAAGACTATTTTACTGTACCACAAAATGGACCACATTTCACTTTTTTTTCTTGTTGTGTATTATGGGACTTTTAACAGATTTACTAAGAACTTTCTTATGACTTTGTTAATTCTTGATAAAAATGACTCACAGCGTATTACACCGAAAGAGGAAAGAATTATTTGTTAATTTTAAGAATATTGTAAGATTATGTATTAATTTTCAATTTAGAACGACATTTATATTATTGTATGATGGCATTGAAAATGACTCAATTGGAGTTGAAACGTTTGTTTCATTTTATTGTATTTTAAATGTTTTTGTATTAAGTTTTCTTAGCTGAATTATAATTTTTTATTTGCGTCATTGGCTCGTTGCCCTTCTTTTATACTACCTTTGCTTATTACTACAGAGCCTTTTATATTACTTTTAATTTTATAATATTTGATCTTAAAAATTTGTTATTGACCTTAATTATCTGATTGCTATCACTAGCGATGTGTCAATAATATAAATTTAATATGTATTTATTATTAATAACACTTTTTAAGCTTGTGCTACGTCACATATGTGATGTAAATAAAATGTGATAAAACGTGAATATAATGTTTTAAATATCTAAACATAGAATTAATATCAAACTTAATGAATTATTTTATTTATTCTATAGAAAAAATAAATTTCTCATACAAACCGTTACGAAAGTATTGAGATTTACTAGCATAATGTCTGCATTGATAAATTTGATTGGTATTGTGAATAGGTATGAGTGATAATCACTAAAAGATTTTATTTACGTTATTGTTGTTAAACATCATTCATTCTATGTATTATAAGGACTGATAATTTTGAAGAACTCTTAGATAAAGTTATGATAAATCTATACACACACACACACACACACACACACACACACACACATACCCGCCAAAAGTTTCAAAGTTTCAATTTGATTGATAATTATGAAAGAACTAAAATTATTTTCAGCTTAATTACCATACCAGCAATAATAAAGATATAAATTGATGCCAAAATAGAAGCTATAATGTTTTGCATATAAGAAACAGTATGAATGATTCAAAAACCATTTGAATTAAATTGAAACACATTCAGAGTCAATTTGAAGAGACTATTGAATTTGTCTTGTTTATGCTTTTATAGTAAAATGAAAATATAATGCACCATTAAAAAAAAAGAGAGAACTTTAATATAAACTTAAAAAATTTAGAAAATGAAACTTCTTTTATATATTTTCAGATTTTATATAAAAAATTATAAAGATAGTGTATTTATACTTTCTTTGTATTATATATTCTATGTTTAGCAGTTATTTCAAATACCATTTATATAGAAACATCTTCTATACATATAAGCGAGGGAAATAGCTTTAATTTTTAAATGTGAAAAATGCTGAAGATATTAATAGTTATTCACAATAGTTATAATAAAATGTTTTTATTGTAATATATTTATTTGCAAGCATTTTACAGTTGCAATATTATTTATTACAATAAAATCGACAGTATCAATCAACAGTTTCAATGTAGCTTATAAATATTTATAGTCCAAGAAGAAATAATAGAAATTGAATAATAGAAATAGCGGAAAAGTTTATTAATATTATTCATTTGGATAGAATATGTATTTTTACTATTAATATAAATTCCTTGTAATATTATTTTAATTTTGTTTCTTATTATAAGCTTTTGTTTCTCATTTTAATATTTTTTCTTACACAAATAAAATGCGTGTATAAAATCTTCCGCAAACATTTCATATATTGTGTAAAAATAAATTAGATATTAATGACATGTTTATATCATTGATATTAACTAATATGTAGTATATAATTTATCTTTAACGTACCTTGTATGTCGATTCATGGAATATGAAATACAATTTCTGTTCATCAACCTTGCTGAGCGCGTTTTAATATATTATAAGCCGAATACGATGTTTTAAGTAACTGTAAAAAAAATTGTTAATGCATTTCATATTATTTAAAACATTTATAAAAGAAATTAAACGTTTTTATTATCAACTAATACTAACAACTACAAACGAGTCAAGATTTAATGTAATGACAACCGCGCTCTTAAATTCAATGGGAATCATTGAACGTCTCATAATTAACAGAAGAGATTTTTTATTTTCATTATCAAGCTCCTGCCACTTTATATTGTATATGCTGTTTGCTACTTTGGTACTCTATAAGTAAACGTTTTAAGCATTGTGTATTATTAAAAATGATGAATCATGTATTATGTAATAATATTTCTTTTTTATTTTGATATTTTTTGTATCTTTATACTCTAAAGTTCTAGTAGTTACAAAAGAAAAAGTTACAAAAGAATAAAAAATAATTTATTTTTTTATATATAAATATAAGATCATAATATATGTAGATAAATTATATATACATATGTACTCTTAATTTGAGTTCATTTCCAAACCAACAATAGAGGAAGATCTGTGATAACATGCAGGCCGTATATAGTATTAGTGTAACAAGGCTTCCATTAATCATCAAGAGAGAAATAGCAGCCAATTTATATAAATTAGCACACACTACTAGCATGCTTACTGCGAACTGGAGAGCAATTATTTTCGCAAACCTGCGATTTACTATACGAGCGTATCTATGATTAAATAAAAAATTTTAATCTGTCTAAAAATTATTTATCAATCTCGAATATCTTTCATGACATTTTTTATTAGACGATTTAATAATTTCCGAATTATTTTAAGATGAGAATTTCCAAAGAACATACAAATAAACAATTTTGTGCAGGATTACATTGCAAATTTTTGAAATAACAGAGTGGTTTAAAAACTAACTCATATATACGATTGTGGTGACGTACACAATCGTGAAGAATATGTTTTTCGTGTAAGATTTTCGTCAATCGATATTCCAGAATCTCGAACTGACAGCAGATTTCCTGCAGGAGTCCGGTTATCAGGCTATCACAGGCAACGTTTACAGCCGCACAGATTGACATGCCTATTATTTGATGAGTAAATATTAACAAAAATATAATAGGTAATGTGTAGTCGAATGGCACCCATGCTTTGTATGTCAAGTTTCCTTCCATAAAATCCATAAAAATAGCATTTAAAATTATGCATATGACTGTTACTTGAACGAGGCCATAATACCATACTGCGTATTTCCTATAAAATGTATTTCTTATAAAAATATTTTCTAATACTCAGTTATGAAAAATTATTACATTCGCTTGTTTTTGAAAAATTTTAAATTTTGAAAATTTACTTAATGTTCTTATTGCACTATTTTTTTTAAATTATATTACTATTTACATTTGTGTTGTTTGTGGAATATTGATGGAATATTGATGGCATTGGAAGAATGCTTATAAATTATTAATATCCCACGAATAACACAGATAATAATTAAAACATTAAATAATTATGTTCAGAAAATAATCATATTGTGCTAAACACTATATATGTACAATGTCTTAAAATTAAATAATTTAGATATTTAAAATATTAATACATTCTGTATTACTATAATGTATTTAATAACACAATGCAATAATGCAATTAAAATATTCTGATTATTAAATTATGACTGATGACTTTACTTATGTAATTCGAGAATAATACTTACTTTATCGTTTTGTCATATTTTTGTCGAATTATTACTTCGCATGATTCCGACGGTTTGAAAGGCTTCTCCTTAAGAACATTGATTATTGTTATGACATACTTCTTAATTACCCACATAGTAGTTATTTTATAAGCTGCGATGAATACCGTCAACGTCATGTATATATTATCGCTTATTTCGTCAAAGTTATTAATATTTAGTATAATATTCACAACTTGTGATATTGTAAATGTACATAACAAACAAATTAACAATATTCTATAACTGTTATACATCATATATTTAAATAGCGATGTCCATGTAAGCGGCTGCCAGCATCCGCTGACTGCGCAGAGTGTAAGTGTAAATTTCAGCATGATCATTCAAACTTTTTAAAATTTAATTTTGCCTATACATAAATTATTCATAGTATTATATCTATATTTATATTTATATTTATATCTATTTATATGTCTAATATCATACGTACATTTAAAATAAAAAAAATAAAAAATAAAATTTTTTTCTGACATATATATAATATAAAGCTTAATTTCACTTAAATAGACTTCAAAATTGAATTACTTAAGTATTCAATTGTCATTGACATTGTGCAGGTAAAAACATTTCTACTAATAAGTTGTCTTTAAATAAATCAAATTTTGATATATAAAATGTAAAAAAGTTAAAAATAAACATAATATAATTATACAATTCTATTTTGTAATATATAAAACTTACAAATTCATAATATTTGTTATACTTACAAAATGATCAATTCTCATTTGACATAAAAAATCTAAAATATCTTAACAAATAATATCTTAACAAATAATACTATTTAAACAGTTCGTAAAAAAATTGTATGGTTACATTATATAATCACACTTCAAATAACAATAGACAAATTTTACAAGAGATCGGAATACACCCAGTATGTCTATAGCCTCACGACACTACTTTGTGATATTGTAGAGTACTTGTTCGCCACACCCCTTTTTATGTGTCTCTGTTATTACCGTAATATCAAGTTTGCGACGGAATATTATTTTTATGAGGCAAAGTATAGATAAGCTACAATATTTGTCACGCGATGGGGCAAATAACATTTCCATAAGATAAAAGCAATGTGGCTTTTAAAGGTTCAGCAATATAGAACTCCAGAGTAAGGGATTTCTATGAAATATTCGTCACTTCTTGTATTTTTGATCAAAAATATATTTTTAATTACTGTTATTATCCAAAGCTTGACATGTATCATCACGTATCTTATTTCGATTCATAGCATAATAAACATCGGAGAGGAAGTGAATTATAGAAGCTAGTTTAACAGTGTAATAATTTCTACGATATTAAGCTTTTTATATATTATATATTATAATTGTAATTAAAACAATATTTAAGAATTTTCGATGATATGTGCAAAGAAAAACGTGGGTGTTAATGTATGCTTATTGTAGTTAACGTGAACTGCAACAATATTCTATCAATTCATCTATAATAAAATGATATCTCTAATTCATGACTTAAGACTGTATTTAAGACAGTTTTAAATATAAGAATCAACTGAATATCAGCCTATAATTTCTATATATAATGTCATTTGATGATAAATAATCTTTATGACAAAATTGCGTACTATATATGCCATAACTTCGTAGAACAACGGTATGCAGTTATGAGTGAAAATATAATTGAAATCTTTATATTCTTATTAGTAAATCGATATGTGTTACGAATTATTTGTCTAATTATACTTACATGTCGCTTTAATATACATGCATTAATTAATAATATTATAAAATATTTTATTACTATACAAAAAAGAATTTTTCATATATATAATACTCAATGAACTAAGAACTATAGCTTGCCTGAATAAAATTTTAATAAAAACAGATAATACCACAGATAATATATCCTCATATATAAATCATTATTTGTTCTTAAATTGTCAAACACTTTGTTATATATGTAACGCGTCCTACATAAATGAAAGAAAATATTATCTTGTTTGTAAGCACGGATCTATTCAAACAATATCAAGATTGCTTATTATACAAAAGTCGAATTTTTTCATTTAAACATTATAATTAGTATACACAGTGTTATCTCCGTGTTTTGCCGGCATCTGTGGTGTAGCGAAGAGTGGCATGCGTTGCTGAGACGATTAGGCATTCGCCTGTCTGACAACAAGATCGTCAGATTTGGATGTGAGTTGTCGGATGTATCTCTTGATTGCTCCATCTAACATTTTCCGCGGTGTTCTGTATTCTGCATTAATAAATGCTTCTTGTTCTTTTTCTTAACATTTGTTGTTCATTTCGGCGGTTCGGGAGTAGGTGTGCGCGTCCGCGAGCGCGACCTCGTAAATCGGCCGCGCGGGCGTAATAATATAATTTACATATTTGCATATTTAATCGAGTTAATAATTCCTGTTGAAACCTCCTTGTTAAAAATAATGTGATTTAATATTATGTAAAAATATATGAAAATATTTTTCCAAAGAATATCAAGTAAATGTATTGTAACATTAAAAATGCAATTTAATATTTTAAAGACATTAGACAAAAAGTTAATTACATATGTATAACATGTTTTATTAATATTTACACAGACAACACGCAATACACGCATATCTAAAAACGAGACATAAGGCATCTTATGTCTCGTGTTCATGCTGTGTAATAACTATTAATATTACATATGTGTATTAATATTACATACATGTTATTATACATATATAATTATGTTTTAAGTCTTGATTTGGATTTTTTGTTATCTAAATAGATATTGGTCAATCATGCATAAGAAAAAAGATGAAACTAAACGTCACAAACATAAAGACACAAACATTTACAATAGTTGTATTTGTATAACTTTATTGTAAATAACCATTTTCCATAATTTATTTATATTTAGCTCATTCCATCTCGCATTTCTCTACTAATGTATTAACTATTATTTAATATACTTTTACAATTTTATAACATTTTCTTTCAAAAATTTATTATTAACATTAATTAATTAATTACTGTCATCCTTGATGTGTTAATAATATATAATCAATTCAATATATATTTATTATTAATAATTTTTAATTTTGTGCTATTTTACTGTTTCTGCGACTGTATCATTACATTAAAAAGAGAATATGACGTTTTAAGCACCTAAACACTTATATAATTAATGACAAATTTATTCAGCAAATCATTTTTTATTACATTCAAAGAAGTTCTTCATACAAACCTTTACGAAAGAGTCAAGATTTACCGGCATAATATCTGCGCTGGTAAATTCAATTGGTATCGTAGCACGATTCATGATCATTAAGAGTCCTTTCTTCATATTATTGCTGAACATAGTCCATTCCATATTATAAATACTATCTGATAATTGAAGGCTCTATAAATAAAGTTATAATAAAATTACATATATATATATATTTATATATAGAAGAATATTTTATCAATCGTATAATTTAATACGCTTATAAATACGGCTAATGATACAGCTGATATATATATATTTTCTTCTTTTTATAGCAATAGATATAATGTCAATTTCACAACTTTATTTTTTTCAAATAATTGTGAATTATGAAATTATAATTTATTATATTACTAGAACTACCTTGAGCTTGATTTCGTTGCCAAACCAACAATAATAAAAAATTGGAGCTAGAGTGGTAGCTATAACCATAACATCTTGTATATAAGAAACGGTATTAGATGCTCTAAAAGCCATATGAATTAAATTGTAGCACATTACCACTGTGATCATTAAGAACTCACTAGGAATTATTTTGCCAAATTTATCGTTCAGTATATACGCGTACCTAAAATTACAGAGAACATTTTGAATTCATCTACAGATTTTATTAAGACTATCTAATATAATTAATGAATTTATATTGTTATGTAATTATATTGTTGTGTAATTTTTAACATTAAAAAAAAACATAGACATTATCTTACATTTCTAATTTCTTTATAACAGCTTCTTTATTCTTAAAGAAAATTAGTTTATGTTGATAACATGCATATTGTGCATTTTTTTGTATCAAAGATAACAAAATAGTTTTTAAAAGATTCATTTCAATATAATGTTTCTACATAGTCACGATATAAAAAGAAATTAATATAATTTTTTGCTTAATAAACACACTAATTATTTTCGCAGCCCTGAAAGAAATCTGAACAAATATATACGTATATAGAAATAATGGAACTTTTTAATTTTTTAAAATACTGAGCTTTTTTCATATTTATTTTCCTTCTATATCTCTAGGTATGACATATATTAAAAGAAATGAAAAGAAACTGTGAAAAATATGTGAAGCATTAATTGGTTATTCAATTCATAAGTGAAAAATCTATTAATATTGTCGATACATATCGACGTATAGCCTTTCTGACAGTTCGAAATATCATTTATTCTAATAATCAATACTACATATATTTTCATCTTCAGTTCTTAAGTGTAACTAATCTGTCCCCAAATTTCGAATTTATTCCTAATTTAATTTTAAATGTGCAATTTTCGCCCCTAGATGATTAAAATAGTTGAAAAATCTTAATTGTCGAATAAAATATCATTGAAAGATTGATTATTTTCTGATTGTTACCAGAAAAATGACAAGTTTCAATAAGAGTATACTGATCTTAAAAAAATATAAATAACATTCTACGTTAGAAAAATAACTCAAATATACATTTATATGTAAATATGTATATAACTTACTCAAATATATATATATGATGGCGTACGCAACTGCGCAGATTTTCTTGGTCATTCGCAATATTCGACAAACGATATTCTAAAATCTCGATTTGGCAGCAGATGTGCAGCAATAATCCACAAACTAAATTATCACATGTGGGATGTATAAGTCCGATAAATATTAGAGAGAATATCTGATGAGCGTATGCTAGATAAAATAGTGCGGATATTGAGCTGTCGAATGGTAACCATGCTCTGTACATTAAAGTTCCATTCTTAAAATTCGTAAATATCGAAAGCAAGATCATATAGATGGCAGTTATCAAAACGAGAATTAAATAATATAATGTATTATTCCTACAAAATCATTTATATATAAAATGTAATATAATTTAAACAGTTTTAATATAATTTAGTTATAAAATACTGAAAGAAACTTACGTTATTCTCTTATCAAACTTCTCCCGAATCATGTTTTCGCTCAGATCCACTGGTTTAAATGGCTTCTCGACAAGATTATCAATTAACATTGTAATACTATCATGATTTATCCGTATAACAATTGCCTTGTAGCATGCCAAAAGCGAAATCAAAGCATTGAACAAAGCGTCGCCAATTGTGTCAGCGTTGTCGGCTCTCAATATCAACTCCATAATTTGAGTCATTGCAAAGGTGTATAATGTTATAATCATTGACGCTGTATAAGCGTTATATATCATGTGTCTAAACAGCGATGTCCATGATGTTGGTCGCCAGCATCCTGCGACCGCTAAAATCGTGAGCGTAAATTTCAAGACAGGCATTTCGCTTTTCTTTCCAACATCATTTCTCAACATCCACTTGCCAAACATTAATCACTGTTTTAATTGATGTATATGTACTTATTTATTACAAATTTTGGTTATTATAATGTTCTAAATGAACGGTAATTAGTAGTATCGAGATTAATTGTTTTTAGATATTTGATCGTGTATTTCCCTAAATGATCGCTAATTAATTGTCTTTATGTATGATAATAATTAAATACAAAAATATAAAAATTTAATAATAATAAAATAAATAAAAGCCTATTATTATTATAATAGAATTACTATGATATTATTATTATTATTATTATATTATTATATTATATGATATTATTATTATATTTATGTAAAATATTTCATTTTTTTATACATTAAACTTACGAAAATTTTTATTAACTTGTTTGAACAGTTCGTTGAATACTTCACAAGTTTTAATCGAATATTCGCTGCACGTTGTGTGACAAGTCAAATGACGTTACAAGGAAACAATCTCGTAACGTCTATAGTCTCTCAATTTAATAATGACATTTCGCCCAACTTTCCTCTTCATATAAGGTATCTATATTATTATCATAATAATAGACTTGCAACAGTCCTCTCGTGAAATAATATTCTCGAGAATTGAGAAGTGAATTCTTCTCCGAAATAATATCTATACGAAATTGCGTAATATACCATTATTTTTGCAGAAACAATCGCGACAATCCTATATAAAAGAAGTCAGGTATACACAAACAGAGATATATAGAAAAATAAATTCTTTAAATTGTCATCAATAGAACAGTAGCTATAAACTATCTCCGAGGTACTTGATACAATTCCTTTGTTGTATTATTTATTGTAAAATATCTTATTTATAACTCACCATCGGTAACACCACAATATTGTTCTATAATACAATGAAGACACTCAAAAAAAAAAATTCTTTAAATATTAGTTGAGCAGTGACTATAGGTTACTTGTGTACAACATTAATGCCATCCGCAAAACTCAGTTACAAACTATTTTCATCACATTTTCTGTCAGTATCTACGTTCTAACAATTTATATGATATTGTGATATCGTGCTCTCTTTCAAATAAATTTTTTATATTTTTGATTGAACATAAAAAAAAGATGTGTAAAGTCATAATTCATTACAGATTATTAAAACTTATGTAAATTTTATGTAGTAAGTGTAACATATAATATAATTCTTTTTACATTACAAATATCTAAATATTCACTGCATATAATAATTTTGAATATTCAATGCTTCTTTAATTAATTTATTAATGTTTTTTTATGTCAAATAATAGATGACTAAAGTTCTATGAAAATAATTCATTTATAATGTTGAAGATTAAATTGAATTTATAGATATATCAATATAAAACATTGTAATAGTAAGAATGTTAAATACATATCACTACAATTATTTTATTTTTATACGTAACATACACTTACAAAATTTATTTAATTAATTAATTTGCGAGATATATATTTGCTTAAATACTTTAAAAGATGTTACTTTATCGCATGTTTGACAAATTAGTTATACTACTATAAAACTTTATGATTTTAGAAATTTTTCATAATATTTATTTCTTTTAATATTTTCACTATATTGGATAACAATATGTACATGTGTCAAATTTTTGTCAAATTTTTAAAATATAATTTTGTAAATTATAATTTTTATTACATAATTACTTAATGTCTATTTTCAAAAATAATACTGCGAGACAATAGGAGAACATTGTAAAAGAACACATCTCTTCCAACTTTATTATGACATTTTTCACATATTTTAACATAATTTTCGTTATATGAAAAAAACATCATTATATATTATACAAGAACAATACTTTCAAATCTTGAGAACTAAATTTATTTTACCTTTATGAAATATATTTATTGTAATATACTCATTATATGATATTCTGTTCCTTGTTATCATAATATCTATGATTTCGTATTAGAATATTACCATTTTATGAATAACTTCTTACTTAGATCATAAAAAATGGAGAAAGTTATAATAAGAATCATTTCAAGTGTACTATTAGGTGCGCAACTAAGTTCTCGCTGTTATTTTGATGGAAATGCCATCAAAATAATAGCGAGAACTTAGTTGCGCACCTAATAGTACACAGAAATCAAAGAAACAAGATAAAATTAAATTTTGTTGCATAATACGTTATATGCATCTGTATGTGTAAACCTATATTGTCCAACAAGTATCTACATATACAAATGAAAATAGAATTTTGAAATAACAGAGGCAGTGTTCCAAAATTTATTGCCACTATTGAAAATCTGTAGTTTACATTGCAAGCACTGATAAATTTTGGAACACAGCCAGAGTGAGTTGAGATTTAAGCAACAGTTTTGTGATGTCTAGAAGCTAGAACATAATATAATATAAACGTCATTGTGTTATTTTTTTTATATCATTCTTTTATTTGAATTTCCTTTATAGCTAATCATAATATTGAGTTCGAATTGTCTAATACTTTCAGAATCTTTATTTTTCAGCAAAATAAAAATACAACGAGAAAATATAAAAATTGTGAAAGGATTTTTTTCTCTTATTTTATATTTAAATATTTTTCTTTATTTATAATTAAATATGACTTATTATATAAATCGTATTTTTATATATAAGTATTAATACTCTTATTTTATATATATATATATATATATATATATATATATTTATACATATATATTGCAACTATATTGCAATTACCAGAACATGTTACATTTGTATTATTTTTCCTGTACTTGTACTAACAAACTGTAAGCGGAGTACGATGTTTTGAGCAGCTAAAATAATAATAAAAATCTTAGTAATGTTGATTCATAATCAACGATACTATATAAAATTAATAAACTCACCGCCACAAAAGAGTCCAAATTCAAACTAATGATATGCGCAGTAGTAAATTCGATAGGTACTGTAGCGCGTTTCATAATTATTAGGAGATTAGTTTTGACGTTATTATTCAGCAATGGCCACTTTATTTGGAAAATGCTATCTGCCACTTGAACGCTCTATAAATTAATAAAAATAATATTTGTTTAACATTGCGTTAAACAAATATTTGCGTTTTGATTAATAAAATATTGTTTCTAAATACTTATAGACATATGTTACTATTGAAAATATTTTTATTTAATAATACAGTAATTTTATATAATTTTTACGGCTAACATAACAGTGACATGTATGACGAGATGATTAATTCAATTTCTTATACAAAATATTTTTTATATAAAAAAATGTTCTTAATTAATTCTTTTCTTAATTAGTTAATCAGATATACCTTTGATTTTATTTTGTGTCCAAACCAACAATAAAGAAATATTTCTGTTAACATGCAGCATGTGAATCCAATTAATCCAATACTATCTGCGTTCAATGACGATTGGCTTAGTTGATACAAATTAGAGCATATTATCAATGTGCTTATTATAAACTGTAATCCGATTATTTGCGAGAATTTTGCATTTACGGAACACGCAAATCTGTATAATCAAGTTTTTTAATTTAATAATGATATATTATATGTATCAAATCAAAAGCATGACGAATTAACTTTCGAAAAATCCATACATACATTGTATAGTAATTATAGTTTAAAAAAACTTAGTGATGCTGATTGTGGACTTTAACAACATAATAATAAAAATAAATATATATGAATTATTTAAATATAAAAGAGAAAATAAGAATAAGTTATACTGTTTAATTATCTTTATTTAAAATTTGTGTGTGTGATTTTTTTAACGGTCGTAGATAAGAAAATTTAATATATATCATTATTCCTCTTAGTGCAGTAATTAAGTCATGAAATTATACACCGAAAAAATTGTATTCTTAACTTAAGAATATCCTACTTATGTATAGTATATTTTCTTCTAAAAATAAGCATCAAAACGATCCTCTTAATTTAAAAAGGAAATCATTTAAATTATCATATTCTTAATATAAGAACGTGCAGAATATCCTATTTTAATGATAATCTCAAATCTCTTTTAAACAATACATTTTAGAGAAAAATGTTTTAAACAAAGGTTGCATAATTTTAAGGGAGACATCAAAAATCATGTAAAGCGCGCGTGTAACGATGATCGCCTTCCCAAATAAAAAATATATTATTAATTTAAGAGAAAATATTCTTATATTTGTTAAGAGGAAATATTAAATACATCTTTCAAATATAAATCAATTTTTTTGGTGTAAATTAATATCACGAAAATCCTAAATTATGTATAATGGTTTTTGCAAAATATCATTAGGATGACTAACTGAAATATACTGTTATGATGGCGTACGCAGTAGTCCAAAATGCTTTGATCATTTAAAATCTTCTTCAAGCGATATTCCAAGATTTCAATTTGACAATATACATGCATTAAGAAACCACATATGAGAGTATCGCAGGCGACATTCACGCTAGCACAATAAAACGTGCTCAGAATTTGGTGAGCATACGTAATGCAAAACATCATGTAAGAGGAATAATCGTACGGTACCCATTCTCTGTATGTTAACTTTCTGTGTTTAAAGTCTGTAAGCAACGACATCAAACTCATGAATGTCCATGATGACGCAATCAAAACTGAGTAACGTAATGTGTTAGACCTAGAAGTTGATATCCAAAAGAAAACAATTGTTAAATAAAGGTTGGTATACATAAATATATATATAAATATATAAATATTTACCGTATTATTTTATCAAATTTTTGACGAATTTTCAATTCGCTTAGATCTAACGGTTTAAATGGTTCTTTGTTAAGTACAGTAATTAATGTCGTAACATTGTTATAATTTAGCCACATTATCAGTAATTTAAAACCAGAAACGGACACATTTAACGCCATATATAAAATGTTAGTAAAATCGTCAGGATTATCGACGTTTATCATAATATCCATAAATTGTAAAAAAGCAAAAATATATAAAATTGTAACTATAAATAATCTGTAGAGATTGTAAATAACACGCATAAATAGCGATGTCCACGATAGCGGTCGAAAGCACCCAACAAACATAACGATTAAAAATGTCAACTTTAAGGTATGCATTTTTATCCTTTGTTCAAATTAAAAAAACTCGTATAAAACAAATTTGTTTGTGTAACGTATGTTATGAGCTTTTTTATCAGTAATTTTGACAATTTTTAAACAATACTTATTATTTTTAAAATAACTTCAACTTAATAGATTCTATATTGCACGAGAAGTGAAGGCAGGAACATAATTTCGAGATAGTGCACTTAGGAACGTCTATAGACATGTGACACGATTCTTTGACAATAGACAGTATATCCTCTCTCTTCATACATATTTAATAACTTTACCTTTATAATACCAAATTTTAGCAACTCTTTTTAAAGTGATATTTATGCAAAATAGCGAAAGAAATTATTTGTATATGCAATTTTTCTTATACAAAAGAGATCAACTATTTTTATATATTATACCTATATAGAGGAAAAAAATTCTAATACAGTAAAGAAAGGAGAGTAATTTCTGTATAAGTACATTAATAAGATATGAGATGTAAATAATATCTTGCAATATCTGAATATACATATATCATATCTCGATACATTGAACATGGAATACTTCATTTGATATTAGGGGAGATTGGAGCAAAGCGGAATAGCAGCGTAAACTGGAATATATTGTCATTTTTTGAACCTGCTTATTACGATATCCAATTGTGATAAATTGAATTATGTTTTGTGTCCCGAAGAACACGTTATAGACGATAGATGTCATTTTTTGAGTCGTTGACGTGATAGCAACTTAGTAATGCACAATATCGATTCGTAATATTCATTTTGTATATTTTCATGAAAATAAGTATCTATGTATTAAATTCAGTACTTTCTACTTTAAATTTCTAAAATTAATTAAATATAGTCTAAGCTTCATTTTAATGCAATTAGATTGTTGTTATAAATCAACTGAGTGTTCAATAAAACAACATAATTGTGATATTAATAATTGGAGCAAAATAGGATAGGATATCCCGTTGGAAAATGAAGTATCCCATTTTGCCCTAATTCTTCAGTTGTAATTTGCGAATGACACAAGGCTGGTCGCGAGCTCTCAATGTAGGATTTATACACTGCATACAACATCTGACGTACAACATACGACGCGACAATATCCAAGAATTGATTTCCTGAAAATAAAAATGTTTTACTGAATTTCCTTATTGAATATCGTATCCTATATAATTCTTTGCGGTTCGTACGCATAGTTGCGTTTGGTTGTTGCTTAGCGTCGGACTAAGTGTTATGCTACGTCTAAAATTTCCAAATCTAATTAAAATTGATGTTGTAATGAATAATAAGTTGAAATGAATATATTGAAACATTCATTATTTATGAAAATGTACAATAATTTTGTTTTCTTTATCCTTAATTTGTTTGAAATTAAAATTTTCATTATTTAGATAAACATTTAACATCTATCTCACTTTACCCCATGAGATAAAGTAGAGATTTAAAACAATTTATATATCAATATAATAAAATTAATGATATGTGATTGCTTTTTATAAGAGATATTACATTCTTTCCTCTAATTATAATATATATATAAATGGATTAAAAATTGTACATATCAAATATACTTTTGCGATATCAAATTTAAATTTTGTAACATTTATATATATATATTTTTTTTGGTAAATTATACATATAAAAATACTTCCAAAATATAATATAAAAGACGATGTCGTATACATATATATGTATTTTTTTACAACTATTTCTAATGAATAGATTAAGTATTAGAATCTTATTACAATCTTATTACAATCTTATTACAATTTATTTATAATTGTTATGTGCATTATATGCTTAATCTAAAATACTTCATTTTGCTAATTTTTAATTTTTATTTTTATTGCACTTGCGTTAGTAAATTATAAACGGAGTATGAGGTTTTAAGCAACTGTAATAATAAAAAACTTATGATTATTACAAGTACAATAGTATTTATATATAGATCAATAATAATTTATACAAACAAATTTATAAAAGTGATTAGTAAAAGTGATTTTATTTATTGGTAATTAAATATATTACACGGTGCATTGTTATAAACTGTAATGAAACTTTTAAGTACTTTCAAATTATTTAGGCAAATTATATTTTATACATTGAGGTAAATGTTTATACTGACCGTTACAAAAGAATCCAGATTCATGGTCAGGATATATACAGTAGAAATTTCAATAGGTATCATTGCACGTTTCATAATTATTAATAAGCTCTTTTTTACACTATTGTCCATGATTGACCACTCCATTTGAAAAATATTATCTACTAATTGAAGACTCTGTGAAATATAATATGTAATATAATTATATATTTATTGTTTCTAATAAGCTGTTTTAGATCTACCTTTAATTTGACTTTGTTTCCAAACCAGCAATAAATAAATATCTGCGTTAACATACAGCCTGTGTATAGAATTAAGGAAAAATGATCCGCATTTAAAGTTGATTTAGTCAGTTGATACAAATTTGAGCAAAATATCATCATGCTTGCCATAAATTGAAATCCGATTATTTTGGTAAATTTTATATTCACTATCTGCGCAAATCTGCAATCAAGATTTTGTTTACATAAAGTCATAATATTTGTATATATCAAGCAAAATAGTTTAAAGAATCTAAAGATAGTTTAAAAGGTATAAAGATCAATATTATTGCAATAATTATGGATTAGAATATTATAAACTAATTTATGACATATACATGAGAATTAATTAAAGATTAAAGTATTAATAAAGCAGTAATAAAAATGTCCACACTAAATATCGTGATAAAAATATGGTAGAAATCAGTATGCAATAAATAATTATATTAGGTAATTATATTTAAAACAATATGAATAATAAACAGTATAAATAGTAAAATATATTTTGATGATTTTGCAATGCTAATAGCTACAATCGTATAAATTCTACAATTGTATAAATTTTTTTTAATTTTTCTTTATAATCAATGAAAATAAGAAATTAAGAAGATATATGATTTCCACCACAGTTTTTGTTAAATAACTCACACATAATAGCAATGCTGAATGATATATAATTTTCCGGCATTTTAAATGATAACTAACTCAAAAATTCGATTATGATGGCATATGCAATAACCCAGAATAAGTTGATTGTTCAAAAATTTTTTTAGGCGATATTCCAAGATTTCAATTTGACAACATATGTATATCAAGAATCCGCACATGAGACTATCTATTGCGACATTTACGATAGCGCTATGACATGCGGTTACCATTTGTTGAGCGTATGTAAAACAAAATACCATATAAGATGAATAGTTAAATGGTATCCATTCTCTGTATTTTAGTTTCTTGTGTCTAAAGTCAGTAAATAGCGAAGATAAAATGACAAACGCACATGTTATCGTTACCAATATTGTGTATCGTAATGTGTTGTTTCTGAAAAGTGATTAAATATATTGTTACATCTATATTATTTCTAATGCAAACTATAAAAAATTTGAACTAGGAAATATTTGAAAAAACTTTATTTTTATTTTTCGTAACAGACAATATGTTGTTATTTGGCAGTAATACTGCTAATTAATCTTATTATATTATAGAAAAAAAATTTTTTCATCATTGAATAATTCATAAATTTTTATGTGTAAATTTTTTATAATTCTAGTTATCAATAAATAACTTTTTAAATCAAGTTACATCTAAAATCTACATTAAAAATACTTATATATATTTATGTGTGTGTATGTACATAAAAATATTATAAAATAATAACTAAAATAGTTATAAATGAAATAACATTAAAAAAAATTAAATTAAACAGATTAAAAATTATTTAATTAAGACATTTACCGTATTATTTTATCATATTGTCGTTGAATTTTCATTTCATCCGAATCTAATGGTTTAAACGGTTCTTCAGTAAGATAATTAATTAACGTTACAAAATTCTCATAATTTATACTAAAAATAAATATTTTGTAGCATGAAGCTAATGTAGTTAGCATCATATTTATATTGTTTGTGAAATCGTCAGCATTGTCGACACATAAAACAATGTCCATAATTTGCAATATTGTAAATGTATATAACATAGCCATTACGTACAATCTATAGATATTATAAACTATCTTTTTAAATAAAGATGTCCACGATTGCGGTCGAAAACATCCAGATATTATAATGGTTAAATATGTCAATTTCAGAATATTCATTGTACGTAGAAGTTTAATTGCGTAAGGAAAAAAAAAGCAAAAGAGATATGTATAACAGAAATCAGTTATATAATGTGTGTCATTAATTTTGTTAGTTATGGAAATCTTCGGACAATATTCATTACTCTCGAGATAATTTTAACTTGATCTCTATTGTATGAGAAGTAAGATACAGTAAGAATCTCTATTGTATGAGAAATAAGATGCAGAGATAATATAGTTCAAAAGAGTACACTGTAGAATGTCTATAGACTTATGACACTACTTTCCGACGATAAAATTTTTCATCATCGATATTTTCTACTTACTTGTGCATATTTAACATCTGTACTTCCACAATATCTTTGTAGTAATTGTCTTTAATGTAATATTTCCGTATTTTAAGATAATTGGACAATTCATTTCTACATAAATTCTATCATATATAGAAGTAATATTTTTAATACTACATCAAAAACAAAATTATAGCAAAGGGAGGGAAAAAATTCTTCAAAGATTCATCAATAGAATATGAGATGTGAACCTCAACAATATCTTGATATATTTGTCGTTGCTGTATAATATATATATATTTCACTACATTATCTTCTATCTTTCGAATAGAATAGCGACATTCTAATATTGATTCCTATATGCGCAACATAATCAGACGAAGGAGTTCACGTTAGTAGTATTTATGTATTTGTAATACTATTGTCATACAGACAAAAGAATTTAATATAATAATTAAATTTCTCTGATATTATATTTTTATTACATTATTATTATGCAATCATGCAATTTCGATTTTTTTCTTTTAAGAGCATCACATGATTTTTTTTATAATAAAGATTTTTAATCACTCCGTATAAATATATTGATAAAGATCTCAAGTAAAATCTATTTATGAGGTATTACATATTTCAAATCTGATTACAGTAATATGTAAATATAAAATTTATACATTTTTTTTTTTTAATTTTGTACCAATATTTATATATATTTTTCAGTAATATATGTAAAAATATTTTCGAAATATAAAAGACAATGTCTCATATATATATATATATATATATATATTGTGGGAATATGTGACTCAATGGATAAGTCAGAGTTCTCTTGACAAGCCCACGCTTGCGTGTGATGTGATAAAGAAAATAATAATTGAGATTTAATTTGTAACTGTAATAATAATATTTATTTCACGAGCACAATTTTATATGACCGTACAGGACGAACACCTTTATTGATCTGTTAATATAATATTTCTTTTTTTATTATTTTTTTACGCTGCTAGGCAACTCGTTACCAACACAATCTTTAAGCTTACTACACTCGCTGCGCTAGTGAGGCATTAAGAATTCCCCACATATATATGTATTTTTTACAATTATTGTTAATAAATCGCAGAGTGAACATCAAAGTGATTATTGACAATAATAAACATTTTATAACAATTATATTATAATAATTATATGCAGCTAATACAAAATACTCTATTTATCCTTCTGTTTTTATTACTTGCATTAATAAATTATAAACAGAGTATGACGTTTTAATAAACTGAAATAATAGAAGACATTTAAGATTATTATAGACACGATAATATATAATTATTATGTATACATGTGTATACATAATAATTATCTACGTAAGAAAATTTAAAAAAAATAATAGATTTATTTATTAATATAATTTTTTTTGAATTAAAATATTACTTAAATTGTTTTAAAATTTTATATATTAAAACAAATATTTTTGTACTGACCACAAAAGAATCCAAGTTCATTATCAAAATATATACTGTAGAAATTTCAATGGATGTCATTGCACGTTTCATAATCAATAATAAGCTCTTTTTGATACTGTTATCCAAGATTGGCCAATTCATTTGAAAAATACTATCTGTTAATTCAAGACTCTGCAAAAAAAACAATGTACATATGACGTATCATATCTGCGCGTTTCTAATATTCAATTTCATTAGATATACTTTAATTTAACTTAATTTCCAAACCAGCAATAAATGAATATCTCCATTAATGTGCAACATGTAAACATAATTAAAATATGATCTGAATTCAAAGTTGCCTTAGCAACTTGATATAAATTTGAACACATTATCATCATACTTGAAAAAAACTGAAATCCGATTATTTTCGTAAATTTTACATTCACTGTTTCCGTAAATCTGCAATCAAAATTTTGCTTTTAGAGAGCCATACCTGTTGAGCAAATAATTCTTATAAACGATAAATTAATTTTCTTATAATTACAATATTAAAAATTATTTAAAAAATTAAGACATACATAATAATTCATTAAAGCTGTAATAAAGCACTTCAAAAAATACAGTAATACGGCGAAAGAAGTCAATATAATACTAATAGACAATATTAGGTACATTTAGATATTTAAGCATACAGATATTTTAACATACATATTTACATTAAAAAATTTTTAATGGTTAGTCATTTCAACATGAATAGAATTTTTTATTTTCTTTTAATAATAAAAAAATATGATTAAAAAAGTACTTGACTTCCATCACTACTTTATTAAAATCGTACACAGCGTAGGTATATATGACAAACTTCTGATATTTTAAAATGATACATAATAGAAATAAACATACATATTAACATATTTTTAAATATTTTTAAAAATAAATTTTTGTGTATAAATAACAATTAAACAGTTTCTTACAAAAAATTAACAAACTTTTATTATGTAAGCATCTTTAATACAAGGATAAGGATACTATATCTAAATACAATATTAAAAAAAGATAATATTCTTGAGACTTCCACGGGTACTTTCTATATAAAGATTATGTGTTTCGCGGGTTTCCTCTTTGTTCAGATCCATTCTTGGAATGCCAACGTTTCATGAACCTTGCAGTCCATTTCATCAGGGCGAGGAGCAGCCTGATACTCCTATACCTGATATCAAAAAAAGATTTTATAAAACAATTCTTTATTACAATTGTTTTATAATGATTATAGCTGATAATGATTATGCAACTAATCTCTTAAAAATACTTCACTTATCCTTTTATTTTTGTTACTCTTACACTTAAATTAATAAATTGACAATGTTCTTACTTGTGCATATTTAATATCTGTAAGTTGCAATAACTGTCTTGAATGCATTGTTTCCTCAATAGAATTGGCTGAACTACTTTTACATTCAAAAAATTATTTTTACATTTAATTTTCATTAGAAGAGAGATGTTTCTCATTGTTATATCGAGATAGAAAACAAATAACGCAACAGAAAGAGAAGAAAAAGTACTTCGAAAACTCATTGATAAAATACGAGATGAAACCTCGACATATGCATATATTTTAATATCTATATCTGTCATCGCGCGCGTGCACTGTATAATATGTTTCATTATATTATCTTTTATTGTTCAAAAAGAATCATGACATTCTAACATTAATTCTTATATTTAATGTAATCAGATAAAAGAATCACATCAGATTCTTTAAAGATATGCACTTGTAATGTTATAATGAAATAGATGAAAATGATTTCCGTTTATTCTACAAGTACTGAAAATCTATAACTTATGTTATGTACTATAGGTTTTCAATAAATAACGGAACGTAACTTGAACAAGTCCTAAGTTTTTCTAATGTTATATTATTATGCGATAATGCATGTATGCATTAGGCGTTGCTCTTTTTTTGTTTTTTTAATATAATTTTTCGTATGATTTTTCTAATTACTTTTTATAAAATAAAATAAATAAAATACTTTATTTAAGATAATACATTTATGTCAGATAGTAACAAAATATAAATATAATATATTTTTATAATATTAAAATACAAAATATGTGTTAAATGATTATGTTAAACTTCAATTTGTTTTTATGTTTCTTCTAATATACAATATAAAAATCATTTATCAATCAAATATAAAAAACTGTGTATGTATACTGTGTATGTATTTATTTTTAATACTAAGATATTAACAACAATTATATCTTACTTTCATTTTTTAATTATATCAAATAAATAAAGATAAGTATTTGTTTTACTCTTATTTCCCAATTTTTAGTATTCTTGTACTCGTACCAATAAATTGTAAACAGAGTACGATGTTTTAAGCAACTGAAATATTGAAAAATAATTAAAATTATTGTACATATACATAATAAATATATTATTATATTTAAATTTATTATTAGTTTTTTATAAACAAGTTTACAAATTATTTTTATATGAAAATACTTCTAAATTCTCTTATTCAATAAAACAATTTTTATTATTTGAATATATTGTAATTAGAAACACAAGAATTCATTAAATGATTATTTAAGAACTGTTTTAACTATATTACAATAAAATTTATACTATTATACTGACTGCCACAAAAGAATCCAAATTTATGGTTAGAATATATACAGTAGAAATTTCAATGGGTATTATTACACGCTTCATAATTACTAAGAGACTCTTCTTAATGCTATTGTCTAAAATTGGCCACTCAATATGAAAGATGTTGTCCGTTAGTTGAAGGCTCTGTAGAATAATACGTAAAATATTTTATTTAGCGTCTTTAATAATTTATTTTATTTGATATACCTTGAATTTTACTTTGTTTCCAAACCAGCAATAAATAAATATTTGTGTCAGCATGCAACATGTATACATAATTAATGGAATATGATTTGCGCTCAAAGTCGAACCGGTCAATTGATACAAATTGCAGCAAATTACCATTGTACTTGCCATAAACTGAAATCCGACTATTTTTGTAAATCTCATATTCACTAATTGAGCATATCTACAATATAATTTTTGATTTTAGATCGCTATAATACTCGTGCAAAATTAATAATGTATATGTCGTCATAATGAATTTTATTATTACATATATCGCAACATAAAAATTATGAAATATTTGTAAATTAAATTTAAAATCATATAATAGTATAATGGCTCAATAATTTAAAAACAAGTTAAAAGAAAAAGGGCTACGAGCCAGAAGTTTGACCTCTAAAATTGGTAGATAAATAAAAAAATATCTTAATAAATTAATTATGAAATTTAATAACATGCCGGCTAACAACAACAAACGTTTTGATCACGATCGGATCATTATCAATATTTACAAAATATGTCTAAATGGTAAAAAAATATAACGCAAAGTCGATCAAAAAAATTGAACATATACTTCGCAATGTCAAGACATTAAACTGTTGATATCAATAATTAAAGAATCTTCGTCTTGTTAGTAAAATTGTACAGAAAAAGGACGTCGGTGTATGATTATATATTGGTGCCCAGAATAAAATATAACGCATTACAGCTTTCATAATTGTAGTTGAGAGTTCAGTTCAAAAAAATAATATGAATAAAAAGTGCAATAGACAATGCGATGAGAGAAAGATCGATGTCTCTTATCTTTGACGTTGTTAGACAAAATAAAAAAAAACTGATTTTGGCAGACTTTTGGCTCGTAGCCCTTTTTTTTAACTTGTAATTAAATTTAAATTAATGTATTTAATAAAGTAATAGTTAAAATATCTATTTTAACTAGTAACATGATGGAAGTAATAGCAATGTGTACAATTTTTTTAGCGATTATATAAAGTGTATACATTTTTTTTTGTTTAATATATAAAATCTTAGTTTTATTTTTCTTCTTTTTTCCTTTGCAATCGTAAAAAATATGGAAAAATACAAGATAAATATACGATCTCTCTATCATTATTTTATTAAAAAATTTGAAAGCAATGTTAAATAATAAATAATTTTCTGGCATTAATTTATGGTAACTAACTCTAAAATTCGATTGTGATGACGTACGCAAAAACCCAGAGTAAATTCATTATTTGAGATATTCTTTAAGCGATATTCCAAGATCTCGAGCTGGCAACATATATGCATTAATAAGCCACATAGGAGAGTATCACAAGCGACATTTACGCTAGCGCAATGGAAAGTACTTATCATTTGCTGAGCGTATGTAAAATAATAAGTCATATAAGATGAGTAATTATATGGTACCCATTCTCTATACGTTAATCTTTTGTGTCTAAAATCAGTGAATAACGACATGAAGGCAATGAACGAGCATGTTGTTCCGATCAAGCTCGTGTAACGTAACGTATTGTTTCTAGAAAATAATTGAAAAAAGTATTATATACAAATTCTAAGCTTTAATATGAATAATTTAAGTAATTGTACGCATTCATTTTTTATAATAAATAATACACATACTACATACTATTTTTAATAGCACTATATATATTATAATTAAATTTAATTTCTTAAATTAACTTATTAAATTATTCACAAATTTGCAATTTCTCAAATATATTAAATTTCTGATAATAAAATTAAATTTTTAGAACAATTTACAATCTTAAATACGTTTTTTTTTAATTTTTCTTATTATATGTATATACAATATTAAAAGAAACTATAATAGAATAATATTAAATTAAAAGTTATTTAATTAAGATATATATTAGATTAAAAATTATTTAATTAAGATATATATTTACCGTATTATTTTATCGTATTTTCGCTGAATTTTTGTCTCACCCAAATTTAATGGTTTGAATGGCTCTTCAATAAGACAATTAATTAACGCTGCAATCTTTTCATAATTTAACCACACGATAAACATTTTATAGCATGCAGCAGATGAAGTCAAAAGCATATTTAAATTATTAGTGAAGTCGTAAGGATTATCAACATTTAAAACAATATCCATAAATTGCCACATTGAAAAAAAATATAACATGCTAATTACATATAACCTGTAAATATTATATACTGTCTGTTTAAACAGAGATGTCCACGAAAGTGGTCGAAAGCATCCAGCAACTATAACGATTGTACGTGTCAATTTCAAAATGTGCATTATTAGTTTTCTCGTAATTAAGAAATAAATAAATATATATATATAATTTTATTGGAATATATAACGTGTGTTGCCAATTCTTCTTAATTCAATAGAAATCTTTGAATATTCACAACGATACGTTTCTAACTTTAACTTGACAAAATTTCTATCATATGATAAGAAGAATCAAGTAATATTATTTGAAGAGGGTGCACCAATAAATGTCTATAGACATGTGATGTGTTTCTTCGATTATATTTCTCGTTTCAATGATATTTCTTTTATATTTCTTTTACTCTGCACATTTAATATCTGTATTTTTATGTAATATAAATATATGATACAATAATACTATGATACCAATGCAAGATAGCTAGTAGAATTACTCCTATTTGCAATTTTTATTATACAAGAGACATGCTATTTTCATTTTTACATCTAAATAGAGAGCAAAAACTCATAATACAATCAAGATGGGATAATAAATTTCTAAAAGTTTATTAATAAAACATAAAAACGTAATCGCCTTGTACATCACTTGTCAATATGTAAGATACTTCGGTTATTATCTTCAATTTTAGAAGACGAGATATATTGCTCAGTATTGATTGCTACAATATACATGGAATAAAATCAGAAAGTAGTTTAAAGCTATACTTTGTGAGACTATAGTCAAACATTTAGAGGAAAATTTGAAAAGCTTAACAATGAATAAGTTTTGATAATATTATGTTCTGTGCATATGCATGATACAATTATGTATTTTTTTTACGGTAATTCCTTTTATATCATTATTTAAAACAGTATTATACAAAACTCTTCACATAAGATAAGTCATATTTTATCATATTTAGATTCTGAAATATGTAAATATAAAATTTATTTATATTATATTAAAGTAGAAAGAATCTGTAATAGTCAAACGCTTATATCGAACACGGATTTGGTATCTTGCATATCCTTACATAAAAATATACTGAAAATGAAAACGATGATAAATATACATATTTATATATTTTTTTACAATTACAGTACAACAATATTTAACATTAATATCATTATTTCACAATAATTATCTTATTACAATTTTGTTACAATTAGAGGAAAGCCCCCTATTAAAAAGAGATAGGCGCCTAATATGAGATAGCGGCGTTTCTGCTAAACTAATAAACGCTATCTTAGTTCCGCCATGTATTGCTCTTGAATTAAAAATTATTTAGTAGAAAATTCATTATTAGATCATGCCTGTAGTCATTGTAAAACAAGATTTTATAATTTGCATGTCTTCAAGTTTCATTGAGATGAGTATTTAAACCTTGTTTATTATTTAATAAAAAAAATATTTAATAAATTCTTCATGTAGTGATAGAGTAAGGTCATACTAGAAAAATACGGGACATGTTGAATTATTTAATTACAGAAGTTAGATTTGATGATCGTAAAAGACCAGAAGACGTGGAAATCGTAATATGAGATACTCAGGGTATTCTTAATATGAAATAACTCGTGCTCCTACGTATTATGTTATAATAAAAATCGTTGCTAAAGTATAAATATTATTGTACAATAATAAAAAAGACAATCGGAACGAACGTCGAGTGCCTATATCTGCTTGATTCCAACTACCTGAAAACGAATTCTGGATATAATCTATCGCATGTTCATTTTTCGCGCACGCTGGCTGTGTTTGTTTGTATTTTAGAAACATCAAATAAAGTTTTTTAATTGCAATACTGATATACTTTGCGTTTTACTATCGATTTCTCAAGGCATCTCATATTAGGAGCACAATTTTTGGACTTTGCAATTTGCTTATTTTTTACATTTCTTTAATTTAAAAAAAAATGGAATTTGAATTAAATGTTATGTAATAACATAATAGGGGGTCTTTTCTCTATATGTTTTATATATTAAATTAAATTTATACTATTTTCTATTTATAAAAGGAAAGAAGCGGTTATGGAATTAATGGGCGATTATAGAATATTGCAATATTTTGTATAGTTTGAGCTGTATATTTGGTGACTGTCAACATTACTTCTTTACAATTTACTTAAATGTATAGTGTGGCCACTGATCATTGGCGTTTACTGCATTGTCAGTTTTGCAGATAGTGTAAACAATTTTATAAATGTATACTTAATTTTGAGAAGTATGTTTGTATTAATTTTGTAATTTAATTTGAAGGCCTTGAATATAGCTTCTAAATGATATAATAGTTAAACTAAATTTGATAACAAAAAATATGTGCATATATCAGATATAATATAATTATAGATAAAATTATACTCTATACTATTAATAGTATTAGTTCCATATTTCCCTTTTATTCCATAATCACAATCTTTCTTTATCTCCAATTTTTTATAAATTATGTTTTGTATTCTCGAAAAACTTTTACCTCTATAATTGATACATTCTATGGTTAACAAATTTGCACAAAAAGTACTAATGTTACATGAATATTACAATCTATTGAGTTATTTCGATAAAACGAAATAATATTCCAAAATCTTCTTCTATTTCTGCATTCTTACTATTCTTGGATTCGTGCCAATAGATTATAAACAGAGTATGATGTTTTAAGTAACTAAAATAATAAAACATTTCAGAGTTATAAAAATGTTTATACTTATAAATTCGCCAATGTAATTATTTACATATGAAAATTTACGAAATTTTTTAAATACTATATTTAAGTACTATATTTATAGGCATAATTCTTATTATTTAAATTAATTGTAATTAAATAAACAATGCAGTTTTATTTAATGTATCTTTATTATTTTAATTATTTTAAGATTAACGCATTAAAATAAATGTTTACACTAACCGCTACGAAGGAATCCAAATTTATAATCAGAATATGTACAGTAGTAATTTCAATCGGTATCATTGCACGCTTCATAATTATTAAGATGTCTTTTTTAATACTATTTTCTACAACTGGCCACTCCATTTGAAAAATACTGTTTGTTAAATGTAAACTCTACAGAAGAAAACGTTTAATACAATATATTATTTATCCAACAACTTGTTTCATTAATATCCAACAACTTGTTTCATTATAAAGATACCTTTAATTTGACTTTGTTTCCAAACCAACAATAAACAAAAATTTGTATTAGTGTAGCACATGTGTACATTATTAGCGCAAAATGATCTGCATTTAAAGTTGACTTAGTCAGTTGATACAAATTAGAACATGTTACCATTGTACTTGCCATAAACTGAAATCCAATTATCTGTGTAAATCTTGTATTCACCATCTGAGCAAATCTGCAATCAAGTTCATTTTTAAAGAGTATTGTAATATTATATTTTAAGTTATTATAATAAAATTTAACTATTATAACTAATTTTTAAATGAATTATTGCAATAAGAAATTACGAAAAATTATAAAATATATGTAAAATGAACCAAATAAGATATTAATAAAATATTAATTTAGATATTAGTAAAATATATCTATAATAAGTGCGATAATAAATAAGTATGTAAAATCAGTAATATTAAGCTGTTTATCAAAATATATACATTTAAGAAATTTAAAATTTATTTAATTATTTTAGATAGAAATGACATAAACACTAATATTTTTTTCTTTGCAATAAATAAAAATACAAAAATATAATACTTCACAATTTTGTCCAATAATTAACACATGAAAGTAACATGAAAGTAACAACACTGTCGTGTTTCCAAAAACTGCGTTAAATTAAAAAATGTTTTAGACGAAAGTTTTTTGAGTGAAAATATTTTGTTATTAAGTACTTCGCGAATTATAAGACTTGAAAGTTACAACAGTACCGTTGGCATTACCCAAAGTGTCCGACCGACAGCTAAAACCTCTTGAATGTTATTCAGAATCATGACCTGATTAACATTTGTCAAAATCAAGGCCAATGGAGGTTATACCTTTCATTTTCATTTTTACATAAAAATGATTTTTTAGTAACAAATAAAAATGAGAGGTACAACCTCCAATAGCTTTCATTTTGACAAATATCCAGGTCATGACCCTGAACAACATTCAAGAGGTTTTAGCCGTCAGTCAGACACCTGATAATGCTAATGCTAACGGTACTGTTGTAACTTTCGAGCCTTATAACTCGCAAAATACTTAATGACAAAATTTTTTCAATCAAAAAACTTTCGTCTGAAACATTTTTCGATTTAACGCAGAGATTCCGAGATATTTCCATGGATCCTTTAAAATGGAACCTATAACTTTCCATCATTAATATGTGTGTTTGATAACTAACTCAAAAATTCGGTTGTGGTGGCGTACGCAATAGCCCAGATTAAATTGATTGCACAAATGTTTTTTTAGGCGATACTCCAAAATCTCAATCTGACAACATATGTGCATTAAGAGCCCGCACAGGAGAGTATCGCAAGCAACATTTATGGAAGCACCGTGGAACGTGCTTAATAGTTGCTGACCATATGTAAGACAAAATTTTGTATAAGACGAATAATCGTACGGTATCCATCCTCTGTATGTTAACCTCCTGTGTCTGAAGTTAGTGAACAACGACATCAAAGTCATAAATGTCCATGCTGTCGCAATCATGATCGCGTAGCGCAAAGTATTGTTTCTAGAAAGCGACTAAAGAGGTTGTTATTTTTAATACACATAAATTTCAACATTAAGTATTTAAGAATGATTTCATTTTCATTCATTATCACGGAGTATTAATTATGTTGTGATAGTAATTAGGCTTTATTTTTTAATACATAATTAATTGAGTTACATTTTTTGTTATTAAATTATTCACAAATACATGTATGCATTATTTTAAATATCTTAAATTTTAATTTAAAAAATAAATTAAAATCTAATAATAATCTTACATAAATTTTTAGAAATATTGCATGTTTAATACTAAATAAAAAAATATTTAGATTTATATTTGGTAAAAGCTTAAAATTTATTCTTACAAAAAAAATATTTACCGTATTATTTTATCATATTGTCGTCGAATTTTTATTTCACCCAAATCTAATGGTTTAAATGGTTCTTCAGTAAGATAATTAATTAATGTAACAATGTTTTTATAACTTGAAGAGGCGATATAAAACTTATAACACGAAGCTGACATATTTAACATCATATTCAAATTATTAGTGAAGTCATTAGGATTATCAACATTTATAACAATGTCCATAATTTGCGAGAATGTGAAAGTATACATCATGCTAATTACGTACAATCTGTAGATATCGTAAATTATCCATTTAAACAAAGACGTCCATGATTGTGGTCGGAAGCATCCAGTGATCATACAAATTGTACGTGTTAATTTCAGAATGTGCATTATAAACTCTTATTTATCATTAAAAGAAAGATACGTACATCTGTATCCGTTTACAACTTGTTTTATCAACTATTGTACTGATTAAATGATTATAGAATTTCTTTAGCAATTTTTAATGTTTTCAAAAGAATAATTTAACAAAATCACTATATCTTAAAATTTAATTTAATATAATTTGAAAAGAGTACACTAAGAAATATCTAAAAACGGGACACAATTCTTTGATGCAATATTTTCGCCGACGATATTTTCTCGTTTCTTCTATATATTAATTTAATTCTCTACTTATACACTTCCTGCGAATCTATATGTATATACATTCGGATATTTCTAATACGGCGTTTTCTTTTCCTTGTATCTCGGATTGTAATGCATTGATTTTATTTAATTAATTTTTTTTAAGTCGATTATTTAAAGACTGAAAAGAAAGAATCTTTGAAATGAGAAAGTTCAAAAAGAGTCGAAACGTTTGTAATCTTATATTATTAAATAGTGTCATTTGTATTTATATCTGGCTCGTTACCTAAACATGTTTTAAAAGTCCAAAAGTTATACAACAAAAGATATTTTCCAATAAGTAAAAATAGATTGGATTAAAACGGATGAAAAAACAAATTTTTTTCGAAATCGCATAGTTTAATAAAAAAAAATTAACGAGAAGAGGTTTTATCAGTGATAAAAAGAAATTAGTAATAAATTAATAGCTGTGAGTTGAACTTTAAGAAATCACAGGCGACTCGTTCTAAAAGAGATTTTTTTTTTTTTAGAAAATGGAAATGAATGATCTTTTAATTTTATTTAAACTAATTATATGATCGACAAACTTTAAATTTTGATAAAAATAAATGAAAAAAGTACTCCTATCGTTAGATAAATGAGAAAAAATTTCTATAATAATTATTAACAATTTTCAAGAATTACAATAATAATCTTAGTATTGCCCAATCAGCACACAATATTAAAAAAATATTTGAAATATATTTTTTAAATATTTATTTAATGTAAAAAAATTAAATAAATGTTTAAAAAATGTTTTTAAACATTCTGTGCTGATTGAGTAATTAAATTCCTCTCTCTGACATTAAAAATACAATAAAACTGACTTAAATTATTTTTATGATGTACATGACACAAATCACAAATAATCCAATTAATCACTTTTACTTACAGTTTAACTTTTTTGTAAATTTTGATTTCCTGACAATTTATCCACATTGGGTTAATATAATCTGAGTACGCACTCCTCAACCGTCGCAGTTCTGTCGTTAATAGCGCATAAAGCTACCAAGGGAATTATAGAGAGAGTACACAAGTTTTTCCCCCCAAACCTCAGCGTCACTACACTAAGCGTGTCCAAATGTCTAAACTATGAAAATTGACCCAGGCTACAATAACTAAGATAGGAGAGTTCTCTTATACTGAAGATTCATATCTGTATCATCGTGATATATGTAATAGAATCTGTCAAGAATAATAATCAAACTTGTCGTGACTGTCTGTAGTGTAATATTTATGCAAGGTAATTGATAGAATTTATGTATATAATTTTTATTGTAAAAAACGTACTACTTTTATTTTTACGTTTAGAGAGAGGGGGAGAGAGAGAGAGAGAGAAAGAGAGAGAGTAAAGTAGTAATATAGAAGAAAAAGGGAGAATTAACTCTACTCTGCAATCAATACGATATAAGATACAGGTAATCTTCATAATATCTTGATATATGCTATTTATACAATACTGCTACAGCATTTTGTTTATTATCGTTCACGTCTAGAATATGATGTATCATCCAGTATTGACTTCTACGCATTATAATCAAACGACGGAGTAATACATTCGAGGAACGTATTTATAAGACTATATATTGTCAAATAAGAGAAATTTAAAGATCTTAATAATATCTCAATTTCTATGACATCATTTTTCATATTTGCAATGATGTAATTAAGTGATAATGGTGTGTTTTATTTTAAATTTTATTCTATTTAGAATAAAATATATATATATATATATATATATATATATATATATTTTATTAAATTCTTTCTTTCACTATTGTCCTGTACATAAAAATATTAAAATATTATTCAAAAATAAATGTTTCACATACTGTTACATAGTTTTATATATATTCTGCTATAAAATACAAAAAGATTATTAAAAAAGCAGACGTTATTAATTACTGAAATGTTATTTTCAATCTTATCTTAATTACAGTAATAATTATTTACACTTCTATACAATTAAAAATATTTAACATTTATTACTATTTGAATACATCTAATACTAATGTATTAATGCATTATTATGGAAATTAATAAATTATGCATTAATGAATAATATCAGCAACTTTTTACTTGCCTTTATATTGTTATTCCTGTACTTGGGATAGCAAATTATAAGCAGAATATGATGTTTTAAGCAACTACAATGATTATAAATATATTTAAATTTCAAAATTGTTAAAAAAAATAATTCAAAATTTATTTTTTAAATTATTGATTCTTGTTCATAATTACTCATTATGGTCTTACTTGTAATATGCATATATGTGATAAAAAATACATTTTTGAAAATATATTACATTAAAAATATTACATTAAAAAAAGTTTCATCACGAGATAAAAAAGATAGAAATTTTATTATAATGATTATAGTTGATTCACTTTTGAAATACTTAAATTAAAATATGTGATTGGAAATTTCTTTTATTTAATGGCTAAGGAAAAGAGCGAAAGATAAAATAAAAGATTGAACGAAAGCAAGAATGAGAGAGTGAAATAGATGAGAGTTATCAAAAAATTAAATAAGCACAAAAAATCTATATTTCATAATACGCTACAAAATTCCATTTTTATGTTATACTTTATACTCACCGCTACAAAAGAGTCTAAGTTCATGTTAAGAATGTATGCACTGTTAAATTCAATAGGTTTCATTGCGCGAGTCATAATTACCAAAAGACTTTTTTTAGTTTTAAGGTCCAATGGTATCCATTCTATTTCGAAAATACTATCGACCAGTTGAAGGCTCTATAGATTTATGACATATTTTAATATTTACATGTTTTATTTCTAAGCTCTTAATAAGAAATATGTACGATAATTAATACAGGGAGGAGCATTTAAAACAGGTCACCTGAATAATTGGCTTGTTTTTAATAATAAAAAAAAAGTGTCAAACAAAAGTTGCTTGATTTTGAGGGGCACATAATGTGATGTCAATAATTGTTTTGTAGGTGGAGGCATAAAGGATAGCTATATTTACAAACAATATGTTTATGTACGTGTACATAATAGTTTCAAATTCGATAATATTAGTATGCATACCATCAGTTTCAGTTTATTTCCAAACCAGCAATAGATAAAAATTTGTACAAGTATGCACAATGTATATGCAAAAAACGCAATAAAATCTGCAATTAATTTAGTTCTAGTTAATTGGTACAAATTTGAGCAGATTACGAATGTACTTGCTACGAATTGAAACGCGATTATCCTCGTGAATCTCTTGTTAATCGCATATGCGAATCTGTAAAGAAAATGTTTTTATCCCAAGAATTAAAATTAAATGTCTTGAAAAAATTAGAAGTATATAAAAAATAGCTGTCACATAATATTTAATATTAATAGTCAACAGAAGACATAAAATATTAAGATAATAAATTTAATATTGCAATTTAAGGACAAATATGAATATATTGCATAACTATACAAATATAATAATAAGTAGAATGAATAGAAATAATGTTACAATAAAAAAATCCAACTTTTAAGATTTAAAAAGATATTAATTTAAAAAAAAGTAAATGAAAAAAATTTGGGTATTATATTACTAAATTTACAATTATAATAATTATTAAATATTCTACGTTAAGTCTAATAAAATGTTTACAAGACTAACTTGATTATGTGACGATGTTGGCGTACACAGTCACGTAGAGTATTCTGGTCATTTATAAGACTTTTCAAACGATACTGTAAGATCATAATTTGACAGCACACATGCAATAACAAACCAATAATGAGACTGTCACAAGCAACGCTAACAAGACACGCGAGTATCACGCCTACATATTGATGAGCGTATGTGAGACAAAATAGCATGAATGACGAATAATTATATGGTATCCATCCTCTAAATGTTAACTGCCTCTTTTTGAAATTTATCAATAATGATATCAAAACATGGCCTATATAAGTGATCATAATCAGTATGGTATAGCACTTTGCGAGGTTCCTAAAAAAATACTAAAAATAATTTTGTCTTTATTTCAAGAACAAAAATTATTTATCTTTTAACCCTAAATGATCACTGGAAATCACTGTGACCCCACCAAAAGTTTGGACTAAATTTTCATCAACTTAAATTTCGAAATAATGCTCTATCTATCAGTAGTTTGAATCTAACTACATTACATCATGCGGTTGGCATGCCGTAAAACACGTTAGCGAAACACGTTAGATTATTTTTTTTTAAATCACCCCAATCAATTTTCAAAATAAATACCTTTTTTGAAAGGCCCGCTATTGCAATAAATTTTTTATCAAAATGCGGCATCTAAAGACTTTATCCCTAAAATTTTACGCAAAAATATTAAAAAATAAAAAAGTTATGACTTTTTAATTAAAAAAAAATTACTTTTCTCTAGACTTTCATTTATAAATTTTTTTGACTATTTTAAAATAATTAATTCAGCAAAAAATCAATGTGAATATTTTAAAGTTCAAAGAATGTCCCTAATCTTTTTATTCTATGTCTACGAAAACAAAGCTGTGACAGCCATTTAAACATGCTGAGGATTATGTTGATCCCGTGTGATCATTACGTAATTTTCACGAAGTGTAATCATCTAGGGTTAATTGAAAAATATTTTTCTGCCTCTATATATAAAATTTATAAAAAATATATAATATAAATATATAATAATAATAATATATAATAATATAAATATACAAATAATTTAACCGTACATACATATAACATTTATAATTAATAATATTAAAATACGATGTGGCAAACAACTTCGGAAAAGAATGTTTCAATAATATTTTAATTTTTTAAAATTTCCTTAATTCCATATTTAGAAAATTCATATAATAATTGGTATTTTCAAATCTTCATTGTTTTTTTCAAATAGTTACTACTTATAAATTAAATAAAATGTAAATCAAGACGAAATTTTTTTGTACTTACTGTATTATCTTGTCGAATTTTCGTTGAATTTCGATTTCAACAAGTAGCAATGGTTTAAATGTTCCTTCCGTAAGATTTTGTATTAACTTCGCGAAACTCTCGTGATTCACAAACAGATCGAATATTTTATAGTCTGCAGCGAACATAGTCAACATTGTGTATAGAGTATTAGTAAAATCATCTGGATTATCAACGTTTAGGACAACATCCATAAACTGTGAGAATGTAAAGCTGTACATGATACTAATTACTAATAATGTATAGGCGTCATATAATGCATGTTTGATCAGCGAAGTCGACGAGAATGGTCGCCAGCATCCAGCGATTGTGAGAATTGCAAATATGAATTTTAGCGAGTTCATACCCTCCAAATAAAATATCTCTAAATATCTGAACGTAGAAAATGCTTCTTTATTTTAAAAATTTCCACAATTACATTAATTTGATATATATAACATGATTAACTAATTTGTGTTGTAACGTTTTAACATGCTCCTCGCTCCTTTAGTATTTGTGTTGCGTGTTATTCGTCATCAATCACGGATTAGCTGAGGAGATATGGATTTTAAAGCGTCTATAGCTCACGATATTTTTATTGAATTTTCCTCTCGAATATGTAATATCGTAACAACAAACTTTACACTGATGTTTTCTATAAATTAACGTTTTCATAAGAATTTCATTCTTATACCTATATATAGTAATATAAGTTGTTGACAAGAGGAGTTATGAAATTTTGATACATTGTACTCGTCCATTATAAAATATTTTATTCATTGTCGCTGTCTGCGACAACTTCAGTCTTCCATAGTCTGGCGTTCCCTGCGTCTTTTCTCGGTACCTGTACGCATTTTTTATTAAGTATAAACACGGAAAGCAAGATACCCTCAATTTATTTAACGTATTTCTGCAACGTAAACACGCGACACATTGAATAATATTTGAATTAGATAGAGATAATAAACGAAGTAATTTATTCCTCGTTTACATATTTTCTTAACTTTACAATGTGTGTATATCTTATTAAATAAATTTACGAGAATTCTGTAGAAAAAAATACAATCAAATTTCGATCGATGATGACGGTATTTACGATACTGATAATTTTAATTTCCATATAGATATCGTCTATAGACAATGTTTTTTTCCGTTTACCGATTTCTATTCATCAATATTCATTACCATCATATAGAAACGTCGCATTTACTAACAGGATTTTTTTTTTATTTCAGGTTAAGTTCTTAGGGAATCTTTTGTCTGTAGTGTCTTATGCGCCATAATGAGCCAACATAATAAGCTACTATTTTCATAAAAAACTATTTTCATGAAAAACGAAATATTGAGATAAATGCTGGGTTCCGCTGCCATTGATGATATCTGTCTTCATTTATCTCCAATTTTAATGAAGGTAAATGTTCTTTTAGTTTTTCTATTGTTATCTTAAAATTTTGACCAGAAGTCACGAATATATTAAACCTTTTTACAAATTTTGTTTATTTTAATATTTTACTTTTTAACCATAGTATAAAAAATTAAATACATGGTTCTTTTAACAAGATAAAAATTTTTGTCTATAACAAGGAAGTCGTATGCGTATACGTATAATTAATATGACATTGAAGTTATATACATGTATTCTTATAAATATATGACTTCATGGTTTTGTTAGTATAGAAAAATCCTGTATTTAAATTTTATATAAGTTATATTACATAGTTAAAAAATAAAACTATAATAGTAATAAGGTTCAATAAATTAAACAAACAGAAAGACAAAGGGCTACGAGCCTAAAACACTGTAATTATAATAAAATAAAAGAATTTTTGAATAGTTAATAAATAAAACATGTCATCAAGTTAAAATATAAACTTTAATTTGATCGATAACAAATAAAACAAAATAAACGTTTCGATCCCTGTTGGATCAATTTGAAAAATAACAATGGAAATATTACATAGATAAAATATATAAAAATTAAAATTCGCTCTCGATCGCAATATCAAATATAAATTTCGCTCCAAAGTAAAATAAAAGTTATAAGGAAGTTGTAGTCGACAACAAGATATTCCTTTGGCTTGTGTATGTAGATTAAGGACAAACATGTTTCTTTTATTAAGTCAAAGTGATATGATATCTCTTATTAGGCAATGCGAGATTGAATGTAAACATCTCTCCAAGATGCTTAGAGACAATGTTATGTAAAAAATAAAATTATCTCAAAAAGCAAAAGTTACACTCAAATTTAATAGGTCAAGTTGTTTTTTTAATATGATGATTAGCAACGCTTTTGAAACTTAGCAAGATGATAAAAATTTTATGACACTAAGTCAAAATATTTAACATCATACAATTCAAATAATTATTAGGTGTTGGAATTAATTCGTAGCGTTTTACAAGTGATGGGAAGTACTTTCATTAATGTATTTTTTAATGCTCATGTGAAATAAATAACATTCTTTCATTTAAAAACGCTACGAATTAATTCCAACACCTAATAGCAAAGTCATTAGGATCATTAACGTTCTTCACAAAAGCCATTATTTGCGTGATAGTATATAACATCGTATTAATTAGTGCTACTTACATATAATCTGTAAATATTGTAAATTATCATTTGAATAAAGATGTCTCCATGATTACGGTTGGAAACAGCCAGCGATCATAAAAATTGCACGTCAATTTCATAATGTGCATAATAGTATTTGATCAGAAGAAAAAGATACACATATATATTTTATATATA